TTGGGGAGTAAGAGCTCTACAGTAGCAGGGTTGATGATTCTGGAGATGAAAAATGGGCCAATGAATTTTGGCCCCAGTTTCTTAGAAGGTTGTAATGATTGTAGGAACTTTGTAGATAAATATATGTGGTCCCCAACTTTGAACGGCTTAAGTTCACAGCGTTTTTTTTGTCAGCTTGAGCTTTAAAAGCTGCTCTGGCCTTTTCTAAGGCTAGTCTGACCACTGGCCAAGTGGTTTGCAATTATTTATCCACTCCTTAAGGGAAGGAATTTCAGGTTCCTTGGTAGGTAGCTCTGGCATGGGGTTGAATTCTTGTCCTGTGGCTACTTGGAATGGAGTGAAACCAATGTTACTGTGCACAGAGTTATTGTAAGCTACCTCAGCAAAAGGCAAAAGGTCAGTCCAATTGTTCTGTTGGTATTTAATAAAACTTCTTAAATATTGTTCTAACACCCCATTGGCTCTGTCACCACCACCCCCACACTCCCCTATTTGTCTGGGGGTGATGCAAAGAGCTCAACCCCTGGGCAGAGCCTAACAGGTTTTTAAAAGCCCACCAAAATTTGGAAGTAAATTGAACACCCCTATCTGAGATAATCCATTGGGGAGCTCCATGTAGGTGATAAATGTGAATTAAAAACATATTTGCTAATGCCTTGGCTTTTGGGATCTTTTGGCAGGGTATAAAATGGACTTGTTTTGAAAAAAGGTCTGTTACAACCCAAATAACAGTGTTTCCTGCATTTTTTGGGAGCTCCACTATAAAGTCCATGGAGATCTCTCTCCAGGGTGCTGAAGGTTCTGCTACTGTTTGTAGAAGTCCAGGGGATTTCCCTTGTCCTCTTTTGTGATGCGCAGATAGGGCAACTAGCAACATATCTTTCAATGTCTTTTTTGAGAGATGGCCACCAGAATTGTCTTTTGATGAGGTGCAGGGTTTTTTCAAATCCAAAGTGTCCAGCTATTTTGGAGTCGTGGCATCATTTCATGAGGCCCAGTCTCTGGCTGGCAGGGATGTAAAGTTTGTTTTCTACCTAAGCTAGATCATCTTTGAGTAAGCAAATGTTTTTGTTAGCCAGTCATCCTTAAGTAGTGCCTCCTTAAATTTGGAAGTCAATGCATTGTCAGTCAGTGGTTTTTCTTCCATTGTGCTTGGGTGATTACTTTGGCTGCAAGTTGGGTTGGTTGGATCATGGGTTTTACAACTTCAAGCTTTTTGCTGTTGTACTAGGGTTTCCTTAATAGGGCATCTGCCAAAAAATCCCCCCACCCCAGGAAATATTTGAGAGTGAAATTAAAATATTTAAAATATTGCACCCACCATATTTGTTTTTGGGAGAGTTTCCGTGGAGTTTTCAGGGCTTCTATTTTTTTATGATCAGTCCAGACTTGAAAGGGGATTTTGTTCCCTTCTAGGAAGTGTCTCCATGTGAGGAGTGCCCATCACACAGAATATGCCTCTTTCTCCCACATGGCCTATCTTTACTCAGTTTCTGTCAGTTTCTTGGAAGTATAAGCACATGGTTGCAATTGTCCACATTCATTGTTTTGGAGTAGAACTGCTCTTACTGCTACATCACTAGCATTCACTTGGATGATAAATGGCTGCTCTGGGTCTGGGTGTTTCAGGATTGGTTCTGCTGAGAATAGTTGTTTAAGGTTTTTGAATGCCCCCTTTGCATTCCATCATCCAGGTAAGAGATGCCTTGTCTTCTGTTTCTCTCCCCCTTTTGTTTTTAACAAGCTCATGATGGGGAGGGTAATATTTGCAAAATCTGGAATGAACTGATGGTAAAAGTTTGCAAAACCCAGGAAGCTTTGCAGTTGTTTGTGAGTTTGGTGTGGCTCCCAATCAATGACAGCTTTTACTTTTTATGGGTCCATCTCTATTCCCTTGTGGGATATTCTGTATCCCAGGTAGTCAATTTTTTTTCTTAATGGAATTCTCATTTAGAGAATTTTGCATATAGTTTGGCATTTTGGAGTTTTGTGAGAACTGCTCGGAGTAACTTTGTGTGCTCTTTTTTTTTGTTTTGGTGTAAATTAAAGTATCATCGAGATAAACTAGAACCCCTTTGTACAAAAAATCATGGAGCAGCTCATTAATTAGTTGCATAAATATGGCAGGGGCTCCTTGTAGTCTGAAAGGGAGTATTTTAAACTGGTAGCATCCCAGCGGGGTGTTAAAAGCAGTCTTCCACTCATCCCCTTCCCTTATTCTGATGTGGCAGTATGCCACTCGTAGGTTTAACTTTGAAAAAAAAAATCCTTTAGTGAGGTGAGCTAGCCTGTCCTTCATGAGGGGGAGTAGGTACATATTTTCCATGCAGATGGTATTTAAATTATGGAAATCAACGCAGAAGCATAGGGTGTCATCTTTCTTTTTGCTGGGACTGCTATTTTCGGTTGGATAAATTCAATGAAACCCCGTTTAAGATTTTTATTGATAAATGCTCTGAGTTCATTTAATTCTCTGAGGGACATGCAGTACATTTTCGGTTATGAAGTTTAGCCCCTGGCAGGATTTCAATGGCACAGTCCGTGATGCAATGTGGCGGGAATTCATCAGAAGCTTTTTCACTAAACACTTTGGCCAAATCCTGGTATTCTTTAGGGGTGTTAATGGGTTCAGCAGGCTGGCTGGCCATGGCTGGTTCTCTATTCTCTTTTCTTTCCTCCCCCCCGCCCAGGATGTTCGCAAATGCTACCTGTTTCTGGAAATGTACGGTTCCTCTCTTCCAGTTTATTTTAGGGTTCCATTTCCATAGCCATGTGAGTTCTAGAACTAGTGGCCCTTATATTCCTGGGGCTACAGTGAACATGAGCATCTTGCTATGGTTGCCCAGTTCTATTTACAATGGTTCTGTGGCAAAACTGGCTGGCTCCCCCCCCCCCCCCCGCTATAGTCCTGTCTAATTGGCAGAAAGCAATGGGGTTTTCCATTTTCCTTAGGTGGATTCCCAATTTCCCTACTAGGGTGGGGTTGATTAGGCACCGGGTGCATCCCGAATCCAGTAAGGCTTCTACTTCCTCCCCCTTCCTCAGCGGGGGATAAACAGTCTTAGGGGTAAAGTGAGTGGTTTGATTGGGTCGCTTACCAGCAGGTCGTCTTCTGGATAGCTTTCGGAGTGGCTCAGGTCTTCTCAGGGCATTGGAGATTCTTCCTCTGGGTTTGCGGGGGACCGAAACTTCTCAGCTTCTCAGGGTGGTTTTTATTCCTTGGGGGTTTGATTTTCCAGGTTTCCCCCCAATGGGTGGTCTGGTTTTCTGGATGGGGACTTTGAACATCACTCCATTGCACAGTACCCCTCCTTTCCTCACTTAAAACAGCCAGATAGTCTTGGAGTCATGATGATTTGGGGTTTGAAAAACTTCTGCTTCCCCTGGAGTAGGGATTTTCTCCAAACCCTGATTATGGGCCATGTTGATCTCTGCCTCCTTTGCCATCAGGTACCATTAATGCAGAAGGTTGGGGGCCCCATGGGCCAGGAAGGCAGTTTACAGGTCATCATTGAGTCCATCTTTGAACCAGCAGACTAGAATATCTTCCATCCAGTCAACTCTATGGGCCAGATCAAGAAATTCCTCAGTGTATTTGGCTACAGAGTGACAGCCTTGCTTTATGACCCTAATACAGTTGTGAGCTTTTCGATCAGTAAGGGGGTCTTCAAAGTGGTGGTGTAGGGCTGTCATGAATCAATCGAGGTTCCTCAGCTCTGGGGCATCAATGTTTTGGAGGGTTACCATCCATTGGCGGCTGCCCCTTCTAGGGCTAGGGTGATGACTCATACTTGGCCCCCTGGGTTGGGAAGTTCCACCCATAATCTTGCATATAAGAAAGGACTTGCACCAGGAAAAAACCCCAAGGGTGGGATCTTTTTCTGCAGTTGTAGGTCCTTGGGTTGGCCAGGGTTAATCCTCTGCTCTGGAATGGCAAGGGGTCAGGTATCTGGCATGGCTGCTGGTCCTCCGGCTTGGTCCTTTGCTCAATCAGTCTGAGCTGGATCAGGGGTGATGGTAGGGATTGTCTCAATTTATAGTTCGCTCTCTCTCCTTCTATGGCAACCTGGTTCATCCTGCACATTGAGATCTTCCAGGGCTTCCCTCACAAGACGATTTATGTATCATTTCAGTCCGTTATCTGCCAGTGGTTCCTCGATCTGGTCTTCCTGATTGGAAAGGACTTCCAGTTCCACTTTCCACCTGGGTTTATGATTATCATGGGTGAGAGTTCCTCCCTTGGCTCTTCCACCCCAGCTGTCTCTCTTTCCTACATTGAGGCTTCATGGAATTTTCGCAGGCAGCTTCAATATCTTCGATGGGGCACACAAAGCCAGTGTCTGGCTAGGTAGTTGTTGAAGTTTCTCCCCAGCATTTGGCTTCCCCTTTTTCTTTGTTATGTTCAGACATTTTTGCAGGGTCCCCTTGGTAGAGTGAAATTTTGGAAGGAGGAAAAAATAATTTCCTCTCCATGTTGACCACTATTGCAGACCCTGTTTTATGTAAGGACCAGGCTCTCTCTCCTTCAAACAATGAATGAACTTTTGAAAAATGGGTATTTCAAAAGGAATTCTTTATTGAAAAGGAAGACAGCAAGTCAAATTCAAAACAGGGTCTGATATCCCTCCAGGCAAGCAGCTTAAATAAAGGGAGTTAGAACCCCTTCCCTTAGTCCGATGTAGATTTCGCCAATACAAAGAAGCAACATGTTCATTCTGCCCCTCCCCTCTTTTCTGGGAATGTACTTGAGAAGAGATTCCTGGGAAGTATCTTTTGGAGCTGGAATTTTTATAGCCCCTTCTCCTCTTGCTATCTCTCCAAGAGGTGACAAGTTTCCAGGCATGTAAATCAGTACAAAATTTAGAATATTCAGGTTACATCAAAAAGGATTACTTGTATCCACACACACTTCTTCCATTGAAGAATGGCAGATACAAGGATCTGACAGTAGTTTTTCTAAACTAGTATTTTTCTAGCATCCATTCTTTATCTTTAAACAGAAATGTTCTGCAGCCTTCCTCTGCAACATATCTACTGAAGTCCTAAAAGTAATCAATGCAACAGAAGAATTCATTGCAGAATCCACAAAGCTATGTGATTTCCCAGCAGATACATATGAAAGAGGGAACAGAGAATTTCCATTAGGCACAAACGTTATCCAGCTTGATGGGCAGCTCACAACATTGGAAGAAAATGTAAGAGTGGCAGATAAATAACTATGTATATAACTATTCATGCCATTTAATGTTTTGAAAACATTAGAGTGATTAATTTTGTAGAAAATGGGAGCACTTCATTTGGAATACCAACTAAATGATTTTAAATCTTCATAATATTCTATTCTTGTGTTCCAATATTTAAATGGTCAACATTTAAGTGGGAACATTCTTGGGATGGTTGTATTTTATACAGCAGCTCATTAAGAGTAATTAAATAATATGTAAATGCATTGTTTGGGTTGGAACTTAAAACTTAATGCTTTACAAGATTCCACAATTCTGAATGTATTATTCAATAGTGGTACGTGATCTATCTAGGTCTATCAGGCAGCTGGCAGTGTATATGGCCTGGAGAGTCAGCTAAATGAACTTGAGGATGCAGCTCGTAAAATTAGCACCGTTACTGCAGAAGCTGAAGTAGCTGATCTAGAGGAACAAGTGACAACAGCTGCAGCACATGTTAATCATGCAGAGCTTCAGGTAATATTGACAACAAGCTATTTACTGCATGGATTTCATAACTTGCATTTGCTTGATACTTAAACTCCAGATATTAATCCATTGTTCATACATATATATGTAAAGGAAAAATATATGCAGTTAAAGATGTACAGTTCAGTAATCTGCACTTTTTCTTCACTTACTTTGATTTTCTTTTAAAAATGTACAGTTCTTTTAAGATTTCAGATATTGAGAGCAGAATTTCAGCCCTTTCAGTAGCAGGCTTGAATGTGGGTCCATATGTTCATTTGACAAGAAGACGTGATCATCAGACAAGTCAGGTGAGGAAAAGTACCTGCCATTAGTGACAACCTGAGTAAGGAAGACCTGTGAATTAAAGTAGACTTCCGTTTGCCTGGCAGTCTTGTGCTATTGAATGTATATGAGTCCCCAGTAAAATATATACACAATGTAGAATGGGAAATATATTTCCACTTAAGGCTACTAGTCGCTCTGCTTATTTCCCACTCTTTTCCTGCGGGATGCACATAATATACACAGGGGAAAAAACAAAACTAAAACTGACAAAAATAATAGAAAGTTAGAAAGTTATATTGTAACAACAATATAAATGCAGCTCTAAGATTTTCAATATATATTTTATTTAAACCAAAATATTTTAAAATTAACATAGCAATTAATTTGAAAATTCTTTGGTCTTACTGTATTATTGCATTTTAATCATATACACTAAATAAATATTTTGGGATAAATATTCTGGATTAAACTATAGTCATTAATAAAGGCATTTTTCCTATAGATGCATACAATAGACACATCCAGACAGCAGAGACGAAAGCTTCCAGCTCCACCAATGAAAGGTAATAATAACAACAATGATAAAACCTTATTTTTACTCAGCAGATATGGTCAGGCTGTTGTGAGTAGTATGATCAAAATAGAAACAGTTTACCTCATGGATAATTAATGCTATGGAAAATCCAGATCTTAGAATTAATTTTTTAAAAATGAATTATATGGAAAAATTGAATGGGAGCTAGAATTTGTACTTGGAATCAATTAGTAATTAATAATGATTTTTAAAATCCACTTATTACTTTAAAAGACAAATATTATTTAGTCGGCTCAGTGGCAGCATTTGCAATTAAAACGTCTGTTGATATAGCAACTGGACCTGCAGCATTTTCATTTTATCTACTATAAATGATTATTAAATGTTATGACATAAAACTCCCTACAATTAATGTTTGTAATCCTTGTATTGGGGATACATTAATTTGATAGGCAATGGAACAAAGAAGTAGAGATTCCTATTTTCCCTAGACTATGGGGAGAATGAAAGTATTAATACAAGAAACTTTGCACATTATTCAACAACCACCACAACAAAAATTTGGATTTAATTTGTCTTTTTTCCCTTTCCTATATTAAAACATTCACTAAGCATTCCATTTATTCTCACACACAATTTATTTCCATCATATACTGCTATTGCTGACCACATAATATCAGCCTTCAACTCCATACAGGTAATCCCTGGGTTACAAGCATTCCCTTAGTGAATGTTCGAAGTTACACGATAAGCGCCCCCTAACGTTTGCAAACAAGTCACAAAATTACAAATCTTACAGTACCAGAGCAGTTTTTTGCCCTTACAAACAACCGCTTAGGCTCTGCAACATTTGTCCTACATGTTGCCAGCTGAAATGGAGCTTTTGACGGGCGGATCCAGCCCTCAGAAGCTCTGTTTGGGTCTCCAGAGGCCTCACCTGGCATGTTGCCAACCCAAATAGATCTTCTCAAGGTAAGTTACCCAGTGTGGCAAGTTGGGAGGGTGAGGAAAGCAATTGTGGGGAACATGAGATATTGGGTTCTCTTAGGCAGGTGGCCCCCATCAGTAGGCCCCCATGGCCTTTCCCACCCTGAAATATCACATGTGCACTTAATGAGCCTTGAATTCGATTAGCAAATGCCTAGGCGAAAGGAGGGAGTTCAAGGTACAAGATTCATCCCATTAATCCTCAGGTTACAAATGAAATGGGCAGGCTCCATTACATTTGTAACTCGAGGACTATCTGTATTAGTGCAAAACATTGGTCTATATATTATCTTCCCTACATAAAACCACACTGCATTTTTCAAATTAAATTATCAAAAACAAACAAACAAACAAATCCACATTTAAAACACATTTTTATTTTTCTCTAAAAGGGCTTTTTTGTTGATGCAACTTATCTGATTCTTTAGGATACTATTTGATCCAGCTTGGAACACTAGAAATAGATTTCCAATTTCTTTCTCGAAGTAAGCAGCTGTTAAAAAGGAATATGACCAAATTCTAGTGCCTAGGAAGCTTCTTAATCTTATTTATTTATTTATTTATTTATTTATTTATTTATCAATCAATCAATCAATTAATCAACCAATCACATTTCTACACCACCCATGTCTGTAATATGATTCTGTGTAATTTACAATTTAAAAAATATCTAAACAGAATACTTTTGCCAAAATCATTTTTAACAATCAGAAATAATTATTTCACATATGACTTTCCAGATTTTTCAAGATTAAAAATAGTTGCAAAGTGTTTCCTATACTAAAATGTATCTTTACAATATGCTTTTGTTTGAACACAACAAGAATAAAATTGAGTTTTCAATAAAGTTAGTGAACTAGAAGTACAGGTAGTCCTCAATTTACAACAGTTCTTTTAATAACTGTTCAAAGTTACAGTGGCACTGAAAAAAGTGACATTATTGTTTTTCATACTTATGACAATTGCAGCATCCTCATGGTCACATGATCAAAATTCAGATGCTTGGCAACTGACTCATATTTATAATGGTTGCAGTGTCTCGGGGTCATGTGATCACTTTTTGTGGTCTACTGACAAGAAAAATCAATGGTGAAGCCAAATTCACTTAATAATCATGTTACTAACTTAACAACCGCAGTGATTCACTTAACAAGAAAGCTAATAAAAAGGGGCAAAACTCAACAACTCTCTTGCTTAGCAGCAAAAATTTTGGACTCAAATTTTGAGGACTACCTGAATTATATATTTAATTCCAGCTACACAATACAGGCATTTAAAATTTTTACAATCACAATAAATTTCCCTCTTTTGTATGTTTATTAAATTGATCGTACATTTCCCTCTTTCAAAAAAATTGGTTATACAGTATTGTTTTCCAGCAGCAATAGAGGAGATAAATAAATAATGAATGTTCACTAGTACAAAGAAGAACAATAATACCAATATTTTAGCAGGAGTGTCAGAGGAAGGAAAATACTGTTTAGAGTTTGAAACAAAGGAGAAAAGTACGTACAAATAGACATACATGTAATATATGTGTAATTAAAAATGTTTGTCCTATGTAAAAATATATAAATAAACATGTTTTTTATTTTATATTGAACAATTGCATGATTAGAAAAACTACTATTATCCCTAACTTCTCTGCCCCCCATATCTGTTCATAGTAGTAGCTGCTATTTGTGCACCTGTCCATTTTAATACATAATCAGAAACATCTAAACAAGAAAAATGCCAGATGAACACTAAGACCAAAAAATGTAAAACCTTCTAGTCATACCTAGCAGTTACATACTTCGCCTCCACTATCCATATGTTTCAATGCAAATATAATTATGAAAGAAGCTGGCAAATGTTTTTTAGGTGAAAACATGGATGCATCTTCAATTTCTTCTATTAGAACATTTAACAGGAATTTCATACTCCAAGGATCTCTGACACAAAGAACAAAAAAAGAAAAAAAAATCATTGCAAAGGATTTGATGGTAAGTATTAAATAAAAGTTTAGCATTCATTCCCAGATATTAGGAGAAAAGAGATTAGTGACAAAAAATGTTACAAAAATCATTTATATGATATCCAGTCATCTCAATCAAGTGTCATCCCATTCTTTATTAATGGAATAATGACAAATTCCATTCTGATATGCTGTCCTGGAAAACCTTACAGCTCTGTCCAGTATAGAAGTTGAATAATTAAACAATAAACTTAGTTAGAGAAAATATAGTTTTCATATTATTCAAGCCAGATATTTTGGTGCAAATTTTATCGGCAAATCATATTGAATTAAGCTACAAAATTCATTAAAATATTGTTTTATATGAGGCATTTTGAGACATATCATTCAAATAACAGGATATCATGAAATCGGTAAATCATATATCTAAGTGACATTTTGGTTCACTTGTTGGGAGAAAAGATGTAGTGGGTGAATAGTGGACAAAATATTATTGTCAGACTGAATTCATACGATTCTACCACCTTTGTGGTTTTCAGTATTCTTTTAAAATTTAGTTATGCTCCTGTTTAGAACTGATCAATGCCCATTCTTTGCCTAGTTTTAATTAACTAGAGCATGGATCAAAGTCAAAGCATAGAATATACTAGATAAAACCAGAAAAATCCAAGGAACAGTGTTATGAATGATAGCAAACTTTAAAAACACTAAAACAATTTGGCAATGAGCAGAGTCCAATCTACAAGTTCCTATGATGGGGCTCCAATTTATTAACACAATAACTCCAACATAAATAGTTCACAAGCTGTCAAACTAAAATAGATGTTGTTTGGCAGCTATATCGTCTTTACTGAGAATATTTAAATCCTGATGTCCAAGAAATTCTGCCCAAGATTAGCATAGCAAGTGAGTAGTATTTTCAAATCTCTTATTCTAAATGAGTCTCTTACTTTCAAGTAATTCTAGCATAATAATATATTGTATTTCATACATATAATAGAAGGGGAACTTAACAATTTGCAGATGATATTAAGCTGTCAGGAATAGCCAACACCCTAGATGATAGGCTCAAGATCCAGATGGATCTTGGTAGACTTGAACACTGCATCCTATCTAACAAAATGAAATTCAATGTAGAGAAAAGTAAAGTCTTACACTTGGGCAAGAAAAACCAAAAGTACAAATATAGATTGGGAAAAACCAGGTTTAATACCAGTAACTGTGAGAGGGATTTTGGAGTCTTAGTGGACAATCAATTAAAACAGTGTCCGGCAGCAGCCAAAAAAACCAATGCAATCCTAAATTTATTTATTTTATTTATTTATTTGATTTGCCAATTGTTTACAAGATAATAAGTATAAGTGTATACATAGTTGTGAATACATGAAATGGGTACATATAAGAAAAATAAAAGAATAAGAGAAACAAATTGCATTAACAGGAGGATTCAATCAAGATCAAGTGAGGTATTAATACCACTCTTTAAAGCATTAGTAAGGCCATACTTAGAACACTGCATCTAGTCACCACACTATAAAAAGATGTTGAGACCCTAGAAAGAGAAGAACAACAAAGATGATTAGGGGACTGGAAGCTAAAACATATGAAGAATGGTTGCAGGAACTGGGCATGACTAGTCTAGTGAAGAGAAGGACCAGGGAGACAGGATAGCAGTATTTCAATATTTGAGGAGCTGTCAAAGAGAGGAAGGGGTCAACCTATTTTTCAAAGCACCTGAGGCAGACAAGGAATAATGGATGGAAACTAATCAAGGAGAGATTCAACCTAGAAATAAGGATATTTTTTTCTGACTGTGACAACAATCAACCATTGGAACAGCTTGCCTTCAGAAGTTGTGGGAGCTTAATCATTGCAAGCTTTCAAGAGACTGGACTGCCATCTGTCAGAAATGGTGTCGCTTGAGCAGAGGGTTGGACTAGATAACCTACAAGATCCCTTCCAACTTTGTTATTCTAAATTCTAATAATGTTTTTACTGTAGATAGAACAGAGTTCTTCTGGAACATCTTTTGGGATTAACCAGAGAAGGTACTCTGATCGAATGTTTCCTATTTGTCTTCAAGATTTTCTTTCAGAGTCTTCAAGCCTAAGATGTTCTAAATCCTCTTTAGAGGAAAATCTTTCAGGAAGGGCCTGATACTATATAAATTTGACAAAAATAAAGAGAATACCCGCAGGATGGTCAATCTTATTTCCAACTGTCTTTTAAAAAGATCTTCCACTTTTTTATTGCTTTATTAAATATTTCTTCATATCTTTTCTGTTTTAGGAATCAACTATAGGGTCTTCTGTAATGTATTAGAATTACAAAATTCTACTGCCAATGACACACTGCCTAGGGCTGCACACTAGTGCCTTTATATAACAGCCATTATATACATCCAGTAAAAAAAAATCTTAAGAATCTACAATGCCTCAGTAATTGTTTAGATACCTCATTTAGAAAGATGTTCAAGTCTTCAATATTGTGGTCTGGTCATCAAAGCTCTGCCTTAAAGTTCTAAAAAGACTCCAGGAAGTACATCAAGTTTCAAGACGTCATGTTTTAAGATGCACTTTTATTCACACTGTCAATTGTACTAAAAGTATGTTACCTTTAGAAACAGTCTGTGTTTTTGTATTATTCTCAGTTCTTCAATTAATTTTAGTCATTGTCTGGTTTAAAGGTAAAAGAAAATATTAAATTTTATTCTATTCTGTGATACATATTTCCTGGGACCTTTTCAGATGTTCACAGTAATGCATGACATAATCAGAGCAATAAGAATTCCAGGAATAACTGGTAATCCTGAAATAAACTGTGGAGCAGGATGGCCAGAAAGGAAGTTGAAAGCCTAGGAAGAAAAACATTTTCCATTTTTAATTTCTACCTCCATTCCACTATGGCATATTCTGCTAGTCATTATACAAATGCCCTAATTCATATCAGTAGACGAATGTACTTGCTGATTAAATATACTTTCATCTAAATTAATTGAAATATCTTCCATCCTCAAAAAATAGTGAAGCCAGTTGAAGACACATCTGTATTTCCACCTGAGGTAAATTCTAATCTCAACTGTTAGAACTCAAAATCTAGCATTTTAAAATCTATTCCAAAAGCCAGCTTTAAGTAAATATACATTATTCCATCTCCAGTTATAGAAACTTCTTCAATTATAAAGTATATGTGATCATTCTATTAGCATTAATGTTTCTAAATGTGTATAATCATGTGTTTGAAATCTAGAAGCCGTTAGTTCCCTTTAGCACATTTATAATCTTGGCTCTTTTGTTTATATCAAAGCTTGTAAAAATAGATTTGGAAGCTTAGCCGCTACAAAAATAATTTCAGGAAATGGATTGGCTTAAGTATCTTCAATTCCAAAAACTTAGACAAGTGAGGCATTTCATTAATTCCCCTGGCTAGCTGGCCACTCATTTATATCTTAGCAGTTGCATGAGCAAAAATCTGGACAACAGAATTGAGCATATTGGAAATTTCAAAACAAGAAATAATAATTTAAATTTTGCCTGAATGCATACAAAGAAATAGTTTCCATGTATAGCTCTAGAGTCAGACATGATGTCTACCTGATTGTATTCTTGTGCTCCATTTTCATAAGAACTTATATATACAACATAGCAATTAGCACTTTAAAAAGGGGGTGCTTAAATCTGACCCATGGGGCCAGTCTGGAAATAACAAAGGATCAGCTTGTGGTGCCTCTGCTAGCAAAAACAGGGTGCAAGGGGGTGCACGTGCCCCCCCCCTGCACATCCCATTTTTTGCCTGGATGGCTTCCTACAAAAAGTTTTGGTTGGCAGGGTGCTGTAGGAGGTGTCCATCCTGTCTCCCCCCCTCCTCCAGCCGGCCTGCAGAGGAGAAGTACAATGCTGATCCAGCCCTTGAAGAAATCCAGTTTGACACTCCTGCTTTAAAACATTCGTTTCACCCAGAAAGCATGAATTAACTAAGAAAATCCAAATCTTCACCACTTTTGAAACATCTTTAAAATTTGGCCTGCAGTACTAAACACAATACTTCCGACTACAATTAGCATCATTCTGACTACATTATTATACAACTATAGAATTGCACCAATGATAGTTTCAATAATTTTGTTATGCATTTCTTGTCGCTCGTCTAAAATTTCTATTGATATTTGGTTGCTTGGTTTTTCTTTTTGTCAGACGAAATTATGCTATATACAGGCATGCAACTGTTATTTATCTTTTGTGGGACAACTAATCTGATGGCAGGATTTTGTCTACGATATCCATATATCCATATATGTATAATCTAGTAAATCCATATATCCATATATGTATAATCTGTTGTTCAGCTAAATTAGGTTCCTATACTATTGTAAATTACTCACTTTCAATCCACACTTTTTTCAGTGTTTGTGCAAGATTGACTCCCAATTTCTGCAGATCTATGTTAATTGAATGAAATGGTGGGTAGTTTACATATTTGTCCAATTACACTTATAGCTAGCATTGTGTGTGTAAAATGTTGAATCCAACTTGACTAATTTTAATAGATAATATATTGGCCTTTTTCAGGTAATGTGATATAAACAAAGTGAGTATGGAATAGAATGTTTTCCATAAGAGGCATGAAAAGCAACTACTGTGTTTAAAATGTATATTATTCAGTCATTTTTGAAAAAAATGTTTCCTGTTTAGGCATTGCAAACAAAAAGAGGGGGGAGGAAATCCCCCCCCTCAATGTACACTATTTTGGTTTTTACAAAACTTTACTTGTGCCAAATGTGCAAAGAATTAACTTACTGTTTAAAAGAAATAATAAAATGCGTATATTACAATATAAAATAATTATTCTGGCATGATCTGATTTCAATTCTTAGTATTAATGTTTATATTTAGATTATTCTTTTTTATAAAGAAAAATATTTTAATGTCAGAACAAATTAAGACAGTATGAGCCAATCTGAGTTGAAGTTAATGCTTGCCTTGTTATTATCTGCATTCTTGTTGAACAATCAACCACTGGAACAGCTTACCTTCGGTGGTTGTGGGAACTTCATCACTGGAGGCTTTCAAGAAGAAATTGGACTGCCATTTGTCAGAAATGGTGTAGGGTTTCCTGCTTAGGCAGGGAGGTTGGACTAGATGATTTACAAGGTCCCTTTCAAGTCTGTTAATCTGTTAAATGTTGTCAGGAATTCTTGTCAACAGAAACGATAAAAGAGTAAAACAAATTATTTATGAAAAACAGGTTTTTGAGCCCATGGCATTTACATATTTTCTGATTCAATGCTCAATGTTTAGAAATATAAATAATTGATTAGACTCATATAAATATGTAATTATGTATCTATGTATCCATTCTATGTACCTATTCATTCATATATTGGATGACCATATTAATATAGGAACATTTTCAGATATATACCAGAGTATTCTACCCATTTATTGGCCCTCCAAAACCCTGATAGTTCTCACCAATAATCCACAAAATCATATTAATTATATTTAGGCTTCAGATAGATGCAATGATTTTTTCCATGTATTCTTTCCACACTGTCCAATGCAATACATGAAGAGGTTACAAATAAGAAACCGAACAATCTGTTTGAAGAGTGTAAAAGATGCTGCATGTAAGTTTAAGTGTCAACTAAACTGAAGCTCTCTCAAATTTATCATTTGTAATGCATGATTTTTCTCGGGAACTTCCCCAGTATGACCAGCTTGTTTCTTCAAAGGTAGAACATCCCTGTCAAAGGTATGTTCAAGAAGATTAGCTTGTTTGCCAAGCATTTTACTCTTATTTTGAGGCAATAAAGTTTCTGGTTCTTTACATCAGAGTTTGGAAAGTTTGTCACCAAGGCCATCTGATATAAATTTCTTGTCAATGGTATTTGGTACTTGGGTTCTTCCATGTAAGAGGAACTTCTTTCCTACTTTGCCAGAACCATGAAACTGTTCTGGGACTATCACTCCTCAATTGTCATATTGAGTAAAATTAAACAATAAGCTCCCAACTAGTTTGCTTTTGGATCCTACTTTTCAAACATATCACGTTGTTCATTTCCACTTATTTCTTTATTAAATCCAGGATCTGTGAATTTAAATTTCTCGGAAAACAATGTTTAAAAAAGCATTCATTTCATCTTATTTAAGCCTAAAAATAAATAAATGGAACTCTTGTATAAGCTTCATTTCTGTAAGGTTTGTATACAGATTGAATCTGTACCTAAACCCTGTTACTTCAGAGGTCATCCTGCTTTATATGTCAATATGTAACAAGCCTAAAGCAAATAAAAAATAATATCACATTACTGACTATTTTATCAGGTCTATTTCATTTTTAATTACATACTTAAGCATAAAACAAAGCATAGCATATATTATCTGTTAAGTATGGAGAATAATGGAGACCAGACATCTGACCAGTGACTTCAACTCTTTAATAAAGTGATAAACATAACAGAGCAATGCAATGGGCAGCAGTAACCCTTTTATAGGGTTAGCTGCTGCCTTGGTAACCAATGAAATGTGCATAAGGTTCAAACTACTGACCAATAAGGACAGTCCCAAAAGTGGCCAATCAGGGACTGGTTCTGATCCAATCCCAAGGTGTTGTATAAGGACCAATCAAGTGTGCAGGTTTTCAACCCCTAATTTGCATTTAGGTTATTCACTTTTATTGATTCACAACACCCCTCCCCCTTGGGTTCCGTTTGAGGGGAGCTGTGATAAAATCCTCAAGATAGGCAGGCCGTTTGGTCTGCCTGGATGATTTCCGAGGCTCCACCGGGTTTTGTCTAATGTCCGGTTCCAGTGGAGCGTTTGGATGACCATTGTTAAGTTCTATTTCGCTGCACGGCGATTCCGTGCTGTATTCACTGTGGTTGTCTCTGCCACTGCGTGTTTCTTCGGGGTTTTGCAGTTCGTTTTCCCCCGTATTAAAGTTCCCTGAAGACATCAACTCCCTCCCCGCTTCACGTTCCAGTGCTTCGCTGGGCTGTAGGGCTCCCGTTGACCTGCTATTAGTTGTATCAAAGTCAAATTCCTCGATACTCCCTCCCCCTTGAGTTGGTGAACCGGGGAAGTCATGGCCGCTGGGTGGTAATCTCGATCGGAGCTGGTCTATGTGGCGTTTCCACACCCTCCCATCGTCTGTTAGCAGGCGGTAAGATCTAGGCCCGGTGAGGTGGGTAACGGTTGCGGGTATCCATAA